ACTTCAGGTGTTGCACACGTGGTTTATCAGTGTAAGTTAAGCTCACTCGGGACCTTTGTCGCCGGAATTTCCGCGTAACAACGAACTCAAACCAGTAGGGTTTAACCTACAGAAACGTGCTTGGAGGGGCCTCGGCCGGATGCGACACGTACCAGGAATGGTGGTGCTGTGGGCCCCGGTGGGGGCTGCCGCTGCTGCCGCCGGCTGAAGGCCCGGGCGCGGCGCGACCTTCACCTCGCGGAAGCGCGGTCCTGCTCGGCGCGGCGGGGCGGCGGGGCGGCGGGGCGGCGCTGCTGCGCTGCGGGTTGCGGACCGGCCGGGCGCAGACTGAAGGCGCGCGCCGCCCGGAGGGCCCCAGAGGGCCCCGGAGGGGGCGGGGCCGCCGGAGCGCCGCTTGGCGCCGCTGGAGCCGGTGAGAGGGGCGGCGTCTGCCGAATGGGCCGCGCCCCGGGCCCCCTCCGCCAACCAGCGCGTCGGGACGCACTCTGCGAGAGGAACAAGGGTAACCGGTGACCCAACGTGGACCTGACATGTGTCAGGACGGTCAGGACTGGTTGAGCCCTAATAACTTTCACGTCGTGGTACAGATAAAACCAAAGATACCATGCCAGTCCATCATTCACAGGGTACTTGCCTTTGAGTGGTATATTGACGCACACTTTTCTTTGTAAGACACTGGCGGCATGTTAGTACCTCAAGTACCACTCCATTTTTTAGTCACACAATTGTTGTACTTGTAGATTTTATTTCTTCACTGATATACCTCAGCAGTGTGCAACTACTCAACTTGTAAGCCTGCAACTAGAAGTTGACTCCTTGCAAGTGTTCTACTCGGTAGTAGTTCACTTAGTGTTCAACTCCTCTGTTAACTCTTCCCACACAGTAAGCGCCTAATCTAGGTAAGTGTTCACGGGGGGTGTTGCACACTGAAAATCCAAGAGTATACGAATGTTGCTCACCTGCAGGTGAGTGAAAAAAAAATGCACATGACTGCAGGTGCGCGCCAAAATATGCACACACTTGTAGGTGAGCAAAAAGAGATTCACACACTCGAAAGGTAGATTAATAGCCGTCCCCAATTGGGTGTTAATGATTGTTCACACATCTGTAGGCCCGAGCCGAAAAAAATGTTCACTATTTGTATGCTTGAGGTCCGCTCTGACGAACCCGGGACGTACAAACCGCGATCTGCATTGAAGTACGCCAT